AAATAGTGCTGGGAAAACTGGCTAACTATATGCAGAAAATTGAAGCTGGACCCCTTCCTTACACCTTATATCAAAATTAACTGAAGATGGTTTAAAGACTTAAATGTCAAACCCAAAACTATAAGAACCCTAGAAGAAAATCTAGGTAATACTATTCAGGATATAGGCACTGGCAAAGATGTCATGATAAAAACATCAAAAGCAATTTCAGAAAAAGCAAAAATAGACAAATGGGATCTAATTCAACTAAAGAGCTTATGCACAGCAAAAGAAATTAGCATCAGAGTAAACAGACAACCTACAGAATGGGAGAAAATTTTTACAATCTATCCAACTGACAAAGATCTAATATCCAGAATCTACAAATAAGTTAAACAAATTTATAAGAAAAAAACAACCTCATTAAAAAGTAGGCAAAGGATATGAACAGACACTTTTCAAAAGAAGATATTTATGCAGCCAATAAACATTATGAAAAAAGCTCAACATCACTGATCATTAGTGAAATGCAAATCAAAACCACAATGATGTAAATCTCACACCAGTCAAAATGTCAATTATTAAAAAGTCAAGAAACAACAGATGCTGGTGAGGCTGTGGAAAAATGGGAACACTTTTACACTATTGGTGGGAATGTAAATTAGTTCAACCATGTGGAAGATAGTGTGGCAATTCCTCAAAGACCTAGAAGCAGAAATACCATTTGGCCCAGCAATCCCATTACTGGGTATATACCCAAAGGAATACAAATCATTCTATTACAAAGATACATGCATGTGTATGTTCACTGCAGTACTACTCACAATAGCAAAGACATGAAATCAACCCAAATGCCCATCAATGATAGACTGGATAAAGAAAATGGGGTACATACACACCATGAAATACTATGGTGCCAAAAAAGGAATAAAATCATGTCCTTTGTGGGGACATGGATAGAGCCAGAAGCCATCATCCCCAGCAAACTAACACAGGAACAGAAAACCAAATACTGTATGCTCTCACTTATAAGTGGGAGCTGAACAATGAGATCACATGGACACAGGAAGGAAAACAAGACTGGGGCTTGTTGGGGAGTGAGGTGAGGGGAGGGAGAGCATTAGGAAAAATAGCTAATGCATGCTGGGCTTAATGCCTAGGTAATGATAGGTGCAGGAAACCACCATGGCACACATTTGCATATGTAACAAACCTGCACATAACCCTATAACTTAAAATCAAAATTGAAATTTAAAAAATTGGTTCTTTGAAAAGATCAACAAGATAGACAAACTTTTAGTTACATTGACCAAGAAAGAAAAAGAGAACTCACATTAATAAAATTAGGAACAAAAGAAGTGACATAATTACTGATGTTATAAAATCAGAAAGGATTACATGGTTCTACTATGAACAAATGCATGCTAACAAATTATAGAACCTAGATGAAATTGACAAATTCTTAGGAAGTTACAAGCTACCAAAGTTCATTCATGCAGAAAATCTCAGTATACCTATTCACAAGTGAAAGATCAAATAATTAAAAAGCTTTTCACAAAGAAAATTCTAGGACAAGATGGTTTCACTACTAAATTCTATGAAATGTTTAAAGAATTAATACCAATATTTGTCTTCTTCATTGTATCTACTCTTTTTATGTTTTTGAGATGGGTTCTCACTCTGTTGCCCAGGCTGCAGTGCAATGGCACAATCACAGCTCACTGTAGCATTGACTCCTGATCCCAAGGGATCCTCCTGCATCAGTCTCCTGAGTAAAGAAAGTCTCAATAAATTTAGCTGGGACTAAGCTGGGGCCACAGACGTGCACCACTACACTCACCTAATTACTTTTTTTTTTTTTTTTTTTTGGTAAAGACAGGATCTTGTTCTATTGTCCAGGCTTGTCCCCAACTCTTGACTTAATGCCTCCTGACTTAACCTCCCAAAGTTCTAGGATTACAGGCATGAGCCACGATGCCTGGCCTATTAAATCTACTCTCAGTGTGAAGTGCTATCCTGCAAATTTAATTTGCATTTCTCTAATGAGTAATAAAGTGGAATATCTTTTCTTGTGCTTATTGGCTATGTGTCTGTCTTCTCCGGGGAAATGTCTATTCAAATCCTCTGACCCTTTTTAAATTGGGTTTTCTATCTTTGAGTGGTAGGTGTCTTTTTTAATATATTCTAGACCACAAATCATTTACTAGATGTATGATTTGCAAATATTTCCTCCCATTCTGTGGGTTATCTTTCACTTTTTAGATGGCATCCTTTGAAGCACAAACATTTTTAACTTCAACGAAGTCTAACTTACCTATTTTTTTCTTTTGTTGTTAGCCCTTTGGTTTCATATCTATGAAACCTCTGTTTAATGTAGCAAGATATACTACTATGTTTTCTTCCAAGAGTTTCATAGTTTTAGCTCTTACATTTAGGTCTTAAATCCATTCCAAGTTAATTTTGTATATAGTATAAGGTAGAGGTGCAATTTCATTCTTTCACATGTGGATTTTTTTTTTTTTTTTGAGACAGAGTCTTGCTCTTTCCCCCAGGTTGGAGTGCAGTAGTGCAATCTTGGCTCACTCTAATCTCTGCCTCCCGGGTTCAAGCGATTCTCATGCCTCAGCCTACTGAGTAGCTGGTATTATAGGTGCCTGCCACCATGCCTGGCTAATTTTTGTATTTTTAGTAGAGACGGGGTTTCCCCATCTTGACCAGTCTGGTCTTGAACTCTTGACCTCAGGTGATCTGCCCACCTCGGCCTCCCAAAGTGCTGACATTACAGGCAAGAGCCACTGTGCCCAGCCGGGAGTTTTAAATTATTAACTTGATATCACTATTTGTGATGTCATTTTAAGATGGATATAATCAGAAACATTAAATTGTACACTTTTAAAAGTATGAATTTTATGGTATGATAATTATATCTCAATAATGCTGTCATAAGAAAACATATACAAAGCTTCATATTCAGTGTGGCAGACAGAACATGTTCCTTATCATGGCTTCTCCTCAAATAGTGTAAAATAATAGTCAAGAAAGAGAAATGCATGGACCCACACAGACAGAGAAAACAGGAGGGGAGAAGATAGCAAGCAAATGCAGTCAATAAATACTGAAAACTTAAAAAAAAGGGAGAAATTGTGGTAATTGACTTAAGAGAACTGGGAACACCAATAGCCAAGGGCCTTTGGGGATGAGAACAATAAGAAGCAAGGCACACAAATTGAAGCACCACTAGTCACTTCCCATAATCTAAGGTGTGAGGGCTAAGAATAGGAAGCTTAAATTCTAACATCCCCTCTGCCATCTCATGTCACTAGCTAATCAGCCTTTCCACTGCCAGGAGATGTGAAAGACTCCTCTCTGGGGAATGTACAAGTCCAATTCCTCCGGATACAGGAATCAGGGAATGCTCTGACCAAAAGGCTAGATCCTCTTTGGCCATCTACAAGGAAGCCTGCTAGAGAAAGCCCTGCCTATACATAGAATTTGTAATCAGCGCCAAAGAACTTCATCTTTAGATACACACTATCATCTAGGAGTCTCTACAGGAAAGTCTGTAGGAGGAGAGTTTCCAACACAAAAGATAGATACTGAAATAAATAAAAGCAGTAGGGGAGAAAATCTCCAGGAGAAAATCTCCAGGAAAAAAGTGACATGACATCTGACAGATTTGACCATAAGGCAAGCTGGAAGAAGAGAGATATTAGAAAGAAGATAGCAAGAGTGGGGAATCCTTGCCAGATATGAAGACCAAAACTAAACAAAACATAAGGAAATTAAAAAAAAAAGAGGCAATTAATTTTTACAAAAACAGCAAGTTCTATAACAAGCTTGTCTAACCCATGGCCCATGGGCTGCATGCAGCCCAGTATGGCTTTGAATGCAGCCCAACACAAATTTGTAAACTTTCTCAAAACGTTATTTGTGTGTGTGTGTGTGTGTGTGTGTGTGTGTGAGCGTGTGTATTTTTTTTTTTTTTTAGCCCATCAGATATTGTTAGTGTATTTAATGTGTGACCCAAGACAATTCTTCCAATGTGGCCTAGGGAAGCCAAAAGACTGGACATTACTGTTCTACAAGAAAAGAAATATAATCCCAGGACAGTCTTGTCTCACCACAGTGCTTATTTAGTTGTAATAAAGAAAAGATAACAAATGTAAACAAAAATATTTGAAAATAACATTGTGAGAATAGAAGGAAGGATGTGTGTGTGAGAGAGGAATGATTCTGGAGAATCATCTTCGTTTTCCATAGAAAGAGGAAAATAGATAATAACTAACAATAGCTAAAAAATAGAAGCAGCTTCCTGAAGAATTGCAAATAAATTGAAAATGGCAGCCTTTGCGGAGTAGGGACTGGACCTGAGTCAGGCTGAGTCAGAAAAAACATTGTATTTAAAACAAAAATTATTCCTGGGCTCAACTGATCCTCTCACTTTAGCCTCAAGACTAGCTAGGACTACAGGTGTTTTATATTATAAATTTAGTAGTATGCTTTGGCTTTTAAAATTATGTATAGCAATCTGTGATAAAAATAAGCCCCTCAGTGCTCCAGACCCAGAGTTTGGCAGCAAATGGGCAGTGCACACCCTTGCTTTCTAAAGGTCTCTTCCACAAATATATTTACATGAAAAGTTGTCATCATCATTATTATTAAAGGCATTAAAACAGCAAATCCTAATTTGCAGGTAGAAAATATAAAAGTAACTGCCAAGTTCCTAAGAAAGGAAGGAGTCCTGGTTTTCTGACAACCAGTGTGGGTCAGAGTAGCCTCTAATAGAGGCACATGATCACAGGGTAGCTAATAGTCAAGGAAAACTTGTCTGTTACCAGGGTCCAGCTAAGTGGGGACACTGCTGGCTTTCAGCTTATGGACGCCAATACTCAGCTGTAAAGTAGGACTGGTGAATCCTACATTAGTAGTCACTTGCACTCACCTCCCTGACAGGGAAAAAGCTCCTGGGGAGTGTTGGCTGCATACTTACTCTCCCAGATGAAAGGTGTTCTACTGCCTACCTTGAGTTCATCTTTGCTCTGGAAGTTGTCCAGGAGGTGCTGGAAATGCGTGTCACACATCTGGCGGAGCAGTGAGAGAAGGCAGGACACATACTCACCCTAGGAACCAACCCAGAAAAACACTTAGCATGGTCAATTGCAAGGGCTGTGTTCCCCCAATCCACAGAGGGCAAGGAGAGAAGGGTGGGTCTGAGATGGCCCCAATGACCATGGAAGAAAGATGACAAGTCGGGCCTTCAAAAGCTTTCTTTTCTGCTGAGGAAAGCCTGGAGGGATTGTGGGGAATAAGGCCTCTGCAGCATGGGGCTATTGAAAAACCTTGAAGTATAATGAAGTAGTACAGCAAAGTGAGACAAATATTATCCCTTTTTTTTCCCAGGTAAGTTTTGGCTAAATATTCCTTTGTTGCGAAGGCACTGTACAGAAGTCTATAGAGGATACTTGGAACAGGGGAAAGCTTGACCTTCTCTGGATAGAATTTGTACTCTGCCCATCCTGCTGGGCTAGAGCAGCCCTTCTACAAGGATTTCTTTGGAACTTCCTAGAATTTGCACAGGGTTATTGGACCGGGCAAACAAAACACAGCAGATCAATATGCCTGTCTGAAAGGCAGAGGAGTTAAAACTGACCTTTTTGAGGGGACACGCTATGGGCTTTAAGACAAGTAGAAATTAAAGGACAAGTATCAATGTTTTACATGTCTTCAAGTTTCAACTGGGATTCATGGTATAAAATCCTGCTTTAAGGACTTCAAAAACCATCTTACAGCAACTTTTGGCATGAGGCAGACAAGCATGGCCTCCTCTTAGTTGCCTCCTTAAAAAGGAGGGAGAACATTTACTTTACTTGGGCAATTTTCAAATGTTTATAAACCATGAGAAAGTGATAACAGTTTTTAGTCTCTCAAACCCTTTCTAGGTTATCTGAAATTATTGTTGCCGAGTCTAGAGTACAATGGCATGATCGCAATGCACTGCAACCTATGCCTCCTAGGTATAAGCAATTCTCCTGTCTCAGCCTCCCGAGTAGCTGGGATTATAGGCACCCACCACCACACCTGGCTAATTTTTTTTTTGTATTTTTAGTAGAGAGGGGGTTTTGCCATGTTGGCCAGGCTGGTCTCAAACTCCTGACCTCAGGTGCTCTGCCAGCCTTGGCCTCCCAAAATGTTGGGATTACAGGTATGAGCCACTGTGCCCACACTGAAATTATTAAAAATACACATATATAAAATATATATGTGCATGCATCTCATTTTTATCTGAAAAATGGGCATAATAAGCTATAGTTAATTTGTCATGAGGGTCAGATGGGTTAATGTACATAAAGCATTTAAGAACACAGTCCATTATGTAAAAAGGTACTGAATAAGTTACAGTTATCATCATCCTCATTATAATCTATTTAAAATTAATCACTTCCTTAGTACTGCCAAATGAGCTAATATTGGACAAGTGCTTAAAGCAGGGTCTGGCAGACAGCAAGCACTGTGTAAATGTTGGTTAGAAGGCTGGGTTACCAGGAAATGCCAGGGATTTCCTGGTAAATATATATATATATATATATATATATATATATATATATATATTTAAAGGAAAGGAATAAAGAATGGCTACTCCATAGGCAGAGCGACCCAGATGTTTTCTACTTACAGTGAGAGTGCCTTCAACAGAGGCTCCTAAAGGGGCACTCTTTCGAAGCCGAGTGCTCCAGAACACATAGGCCTGCTCCCTGAGTGCTCCCTGCTTTCCCTAGCATGCTGTAGCTTGGCTTGCTCCCACAGAGGGTTTTCTTCAGAGAGATAACTGTAATCTCCCATCTGCCAATGGAAAGGTTCCGTGAAAACTGTTTATCATGTCCCCACCTCAGGGCTGTGATGTCTACTCTGGGTATAGGAACTGGGGGGTGGGGGCATGAGGGGTCCAAGGCATTGTCTCTCTAACCCTCCTGAGAAGCCTTTCCAGTTTGTTTTTCTTCTAATTAGATCACAGAAAAATCATTATTCAGTAATGCCAGTGAAATTTACCTCATCACACTTTCCCAAATGCTAAAAATTTAGATACAAGCACAATGGACAAAAACAGCTAATTTGTAGATAGAAGCCAATTCTAAGAAAATTATTCTGTCCTGTACATTATTTAGGAGAACCTGTATCAGGGGTTCCTAGAAGAAATAGTTTGTTTTTCACCCTCAACCTCTTACTACCTCTTTCATACATCCCTGCTTCATACCACAATATAGAGAATGACTGGGCTCAAAGTATGGAGGAAAATAGGACAAGAAACATTCCCTGGATCTGCCCTAAGGAAGACTCCTGGGAATGTGAACCTAGAGCTTTCAGAGTGGAGAGGAGAGTCAGATTCAAGATGGGAAAAGGGGAGCATGCTGACAACCATGCAGGAGGGGAGGCTGAGATGAAGGTGGTGGGATGGTAAGATGGAGGGGGAGTGCTGTGGAGAAGCCCCAGGTTAGAAAAGAAGGCAAGAAAACCTGGATGTTAGTTACTAACAGTGATCTCGGCTGTGCACTGCGGGCACCGCTGCCCTCTTACCGCCTCCTGAGCGTGCGATTTGCTCATGATGGTGAGCAGAGTCTGCAAGAGCACGTCCAGGAGGCTCTCCACCATCATCTCTACTTCCTCCATGACATCTGCCTCCTGGAGCGAGCAGCAAGAGAACACACCATTAGCACCAGGGCAGGCTGATGTATAGCTGGCAGCACTTACTAGGTCAGCCATGGCAGCAGTAGTCTTTTGGATTCCCAACACTAAGCTCAGTCTCACCAACATGCAGTGTCAAGGAACCCAGGACAATGGCTTTCAGAGGAGGTGAGGCACAACTGCCACGGCTGCCCAGGCATGGTAGCTGGGACCTTACCCTAACTCAACACCACCTGAAACTTTGAATCTCAAGCAGATACATTAATTTTGATATACAGGGCAGAAGCAAAGATCCTGAGTTAAATGTTTTCTTTGATTTCCCTAGACTTGTCAGGAGAAAGCACAACTCTTCTGACACTTTCAGAAATGATAAAGTTTGAGAAATGGTGACGAATTCACACAACAAGGTGCGGCAGTGGCACCTTCACTAGTACACAGCACTAATGCACATAGAAGTAGCTCATCTTTTTAAGTGCCCTGTTTTCTCCTCAGGGTTTTCTTCTTGGGTGCCTTCAATTTTTGCCAGCCCTGACTGCTGCCTAGATATGCCTGGGCCCATTTCTAGCAGCTCTCTTGCTTCTGTTATGGGGTCTATTTGAAGGACTCCAGCATCAGTGCATCTTTCTCCGGCTATCTCACAAAAACAATGGAGCATGTGTTCTCACTAAGGGCCACTTCATAATTTCGGAAGAGCCTGTCATCCTATTATAGACCTCTCACATTCATCTAAAATTCTGTAGCATGATTTTAATTATCTCACAAAGAGATTCCCGTTGCCCCTTGTCTAAGATCTTTACACTATCACTGGTCCTAATGTCTATCCTTTACCCATCCATCAGTTTGTCATTCACTAAACATTTACCATGTGCCAGTCACTGTTTGAGAACCCGAATATATAGAGGTGAACAAGAGAGATAACATCTCTGCTCTCATTGAGCTTAAATTTCATCTTCCCTTTACCCATCCATCAAATACAATTATACTCTGCCCCATTCCACATGAAGAATTTGAGCAGCTCTTGGGACCAATGTCATCTTTCCTATCTGTCAAACTGATCATAACACTTACCAGTGATGTATCTTTGAGTAGTTACAAGCAATTAATAACACTCATTCTAGCCCCACAAACACAACCAAACCATCACTTCCAGGTTTTTACTGGTTCCCACTCCTATTCCATTCCTCTTTCTTTTTTTGCTTCAATTTCTCTCCTTCCTTTAGCAATAAGCTGCCCACCCCCTCAAATATGACCTTGGGCTACAAGTAGATCTTATGTGCCTGGTGTGGCTTCTCTGAGGCCTGGTGGGAAGAAGGGCTGCCAATTCTTACCTGGAGCCAAGAGCAAATGTTAGGGCCATTATCACCATCACAGTCATTCTCTGCCAAGTTAGACCCCTGTCACCAGATGGTACTTTAAGTCTGAACATTAGAGTATCCTATTGACTCCCTGTCCCTGCTCAAACAAAAAATATTCTTTTTTTTAGGTCCTCTCCCACTGCATGTGGAGAGCCTATCCTTATATATTCTTATCACCTGACCACTGCCCTTCATTTTAAATGCATGTGAAATTCTATTCTCTAGCAGCTTAATAAAATGGTATAATTTAAAAATCCATTTTTGTTCTACATTTCTTTCCTTACACTTTCCTATAGCTTCCAAATTTTCTGTAATATGCCTTTCTGCTATTATCAAAAGTACATGAAATAAGCATTACTAAAATAAATTCCTACCCTCACCCGTGCCTGATTCATGTCTTTTCTTCTCTCTTTCCCTACCTCAATTCATCCCCTCCTACCACTGATCTCTTTTAAAAAGAAAATATAAAGAGTAAAGAAAATGGGTAAAAGCAGTATCAGTTGAAACCTGATCCCTAAAGCACAATTCTACCATCCTCTGAGGCTCAGAGCTCTGATGGGCAACATTAACCTCTCATATACCCTGACCTCAACTGGCACAGTATAGGAATGCCATATGGGTGGGATCAAGCTGTCAGAAGAGCCTGAATAAGCAAGCTACCTCTCAAGTCTGGGTCTGCCTCCCTGTGCTCATGCCTGAATATTCTCAGAAAACTCCAAAGAATCCAGAATTAAAACCTTTTGATGGAAACAGCATGACACAGAATTGGGCTTTGTGGTACTATAGATAACTATATTTCTGGGTAGATTTATGGTGTTGCAACCTTTAAAAATAGCAAGAATGTGTTGTATTGAGAAACCTGGTGGCAACACAGAGGCTTCCATTCACTTGGGCACCTTCCTGTCACTGATGAAAGCATCTATGACTGAAAAGTGTACAAAGCCATCTGAAAAGTGTACAAGCCATATTAGCAAAGTAACACAAGACAAGGGAAGAGCTGAGCAGGGTGGAGTGGGTGTGGGGCCACTACCAGAGAGCTGGTCTTGACGATGGAGAAGATGCTGCCGAGAATCCCTGAGCAAATAAGCAGCTCTTTCTGCTGCCTCAGGTGAAGGTGGATATGATGGAGAACCACAGGAAGCAGGATGCGGCGGGATTCTGGGAGAGAAAACACAAAGGTGAAGAAGCCTTTAGAGGAGAACTGCTACTGTGGGAAGCCAGTGGCATTGTGGGACTTAGTTATTCTCAAAGCAAGGGGGGTTGAGACTAGAGCAAAAGTGAAGGTAATCTCCAGCTGGGCGTGTTGGCTCACACCTGAAATCCCAGCACTCTAGGAGGTCAAGGTGGGTGAATCACAAGGTCAAGAGATCGAGACTATCCTGGCCAACATGGTGAAACCCTGTGTCTACTAAAAATACAAAAATTAGCTGGGTGTGGTGGTACGTGCCTGTAGTCCCAGCTGCTTGGGAGGCTGAGGCAGGAGAATCTATTTGAACCTGGGAGGCAGAGGTTACAGTGAGCTGAGATTGCACCACAGCACTCCAGCCTGGCAACTGAGTGAGACTCCATCTCCAAAAAAAAAAAAAAAAAAAAAAAAGTGAAGGTAATCTCCTTTCCTTACAAGGGCCTAAAAGCCCACTGCCTGGAGTATACAAGCCATCACATGACATTATTCTTCCATCTTTCTTTCCTTTGTTTTCAAGACAAAGCATCCATGGCATTTCATGCAGGATGAATGTTAGGGGTCTGCTTCCAAATGAAGTCTCTTTTTTTGGTAACAGGGTCTCTCTCAGGCTAGAGTGGAGTGGCATAATCATGGCTCCCTGCAGCTTAAACCTTCTAGGATTGCTAAAGCAATCCTCCTACCTCAGCCTCCCATGCAGATAGGATCACAGGTGTATGCTACCACACTCAGATAAGTTTTTAATTTTTTGTAGAGATGAGGTCTCACTATGCCGCCCAGCTAGTCTTAAACTCCTGGGCTCAAGCAATTCTTTCTCCTTGGCCTCTCCAAATGCTAAGATTACAGGTTTGAGTCACCATACCTGGTCCCAGATGAAATCTCTCTAATGATTAGATTCCAAATTAAAAGCACAGTTTACAGTGACAATTCCATTTAAATGGTATACTTCGTATGAACTACACTGACTGAACTTGCAGACTTGAAATGGATTATAGATTGTCCCTCTTCATGACCTGGCGAGGTAGGTAGTCTGACACTTCCACCCCTGTGAGCATTTACCTTGCCATAGTCATCAGGCCTGTTCCCTCTCCCCGGCAGGCTTGTTAAATTGCTGCTCAGTGGTACACAGCAATGAACAGAATTGAAGCATGACCTTTGTCTTGTCATAAAACTTTGATAATTAGCCAACATTTACCACCAATCCTACTGTACACTTCAAATGATTTCCTTTTCTTTTCTCCCAGTGTTACCGGAATAGCACTTTCATCAAGAGGTGACTATATTTAGAATCCTAAATTCAGGAAGGCTAAGTCCTACATCAAGCTCCCTTTTTAACTCAATCTGAGACCTCAGGCAAGTTGACTCCTCTCATGAGCTTTATTTTCCTCATCTGTAGAATGAGATTTAAGGGCCTCTTCTATAATACATGTGCTTCACAAAGGTGGTTAGGAGACAAAGTGAAATACAAGTGTGAATGCATTTCTGGCACCCTGTACTCCTACGTGGTCAGTGATTGTGTACTCTGCAGGTCCCATCATATGGGGCCAGCATGATACAGTCACAAACAAGCCATGGCATTTGGGATTGATCGTTCATATCTGTCCTTAGTTAAGATTTCCACTTGAAATTCAGACAGGAAATCTTTTTCAGTCAAAGACAAATTACATGACATATAAGAGATTTGGGCACTACCTTGTCAAATACTTAGAATATGTTCCAACAGAATGGAATACTAGCTAGTCTAGATTTAAAAGGCTGCTTGGATACAAAACGTTGATACTGCACTGTATAGACGAAAATACCAACATACTTAGTATTTGTAAAAACCAATAGCTCCTTACAGAAGAAACCAGTAGTTTGTTACTAGAACCTGATGAAGAAGAGACCAAACTTATACTTTGAGAATATTAGTGCTGGTCAAAGGACATCACTGGTAAAGAACCTTTTGCTTCGGAGAAGATGCTGCAATTCAGGCATTCAATGAAAGTGAGATGCAAATGAAATTTTGGTGGTGTTTGTCATCTTAAATCCAAATACGTAGTCCAATGCCACATAAATATTAAGAAAATTTTTCTGAAGTGTTTGTGTGAAACAGCAAGTACATGCAGAAATATTAGAAATAAAGTATGTCAGTGAAAGCAATCTGTAACTCCCCTTCCCACATATTTTGAAAGCACTTTCTTTAAGCAGTGCAGAAAGCTCGAGTGTGTACAGTGGCCTCAGTGACAGTGTGCCCAAACAATTAATAAAATCTTCAGTGCAGGAGCTGGAGAAGAGAGATCTATTTACCAGCATAAACAGTTCCTGGTGGAAAAGATTACTTTCTTAGTGGCAGCTTTACTATTAGCAATACTATACATTGGCACAGCTAAGTCAAAGGGAACATCTATGTAGTATTACAAATGTGTGTAGCACTGGGCTGAGAAATTTTTGTCCTTATACTTTAAAAGTCAAACCTAAAAAAATTAACCATCAAAAATTATAATTATAAAAATTCTAATAGTTGTTTTGCCGGTGTTTCAGATTTATGTGTGTGCCCCGGAAGTTTATGCTAGCACACTGATATTATACTGAAAGGATCAGGCTCATATTGATCATTAATATATGGCCATTGAGTATCTGGTTGTCCCTTCAAGGCAGAACTTGATCGCATATGATGTGGCTTCAGGAATGAAACCAGAAGTTCTTCGTGAAAGGCAGACTAGGCTGCTAATATATTAGATTGTTCTGACCCCGTGGAGAGAATAAAGAGCTCCCTGTCCATTTCTCTCTCTAATCCTTAGTTGGTTCTCCAAAGACTGGAAAAGGAATCGAGTGGTATGGCAAAGAAACAAGAAAGCATAGGGTCCTCAGGGCCCCCTTTCAGGGCCTCTTTTATTTTCTTGGCTTATCTTTATCCCCTTGAGATAGTCCCTTCTCTTTTCCTCTCCTTCCTTTCCTGAGGGTTTTCCTCTGTTCTTGGAAGCTGTGAGCCTGGAGCCAGGGCCCTCATCAATGGGATTAGTGCCCTTTTAAAAAAGAGACCCCAGAGAGCTGCCTTGTCCCTTCTGCCATGTGAGAACACAGAAGATAGCTGTCTATGAACCAGGAAGTGGGCCTCACCAGACACTGAATCTGCTGGTGCTTTGATCTTAGACTTCCCAACCTCCAGAACTGTGAGGAAGTTTGTTGTTTACATGCCACCCAGTCCATGGCATTTTGTTACAGTAGCCTGAATGGACTGACACCATCCCAGAGACATGCCTCCATGTGTAGATTCCTAGGAATAAACTGTAAGGCAGTAGGTGTAGGTCTTCTCTATTATAGTTTACTAAAAATTCTGCATCTTAACGGTCACTGGTTTCTTGCACAAAGGTTGAGGAAACTGATCTGATTACCACCTGGCTACCACCCCTGGAAGGAAGGAAAGGTGAGTCTGACTCTCATCCCAACTTGATTTACCTGAGAAAGAAAACAGGCGGCTGTCCACTGTCCTGGCAATGGACTGAAGTTTGACCACGTCCATTGATTGCCCAATGTGCACAGTGCTGGGCATACTCCCCAGTGTCCCTCTCACAAACTCTGCTACCTCTTGCACGGTGAACATTTGAAGCAGCTCGTCAAAGATGGTTGGGAAAGAATTGAGGAGTGCTGCCTGCAGAAGCAAATGAAGCTGTGGTTAGCACAGAGTTAGGGTGTGTGTCAGAGTGTGTGTCTATCTTTCATGCTCAACAACACAAGGTGGTGAGAGGCTGAAAGGGCATTGTAGCATCTCTGCCTTGGGTGGGCTCCTCCCTGGCCATTGACTGCGCACTCAGGCATGGAGCAAGAAACAAAAAGGAAACCAAAATAAGATAATTTACTGGGGTCCAGGGAATTTGAAGCTTTCGTAACTTGCATTTGGCATTTTCTGGCAAGAGAAGGGGGTATCAAGAGAAATTTGCTCAACATGGCTTAGGATCCACAACTGTTTTCATTCATAAAATGGATTCATATTTTTTGTTTGTCTCTATGATCAAGTTCTTGACTTTCCAATTTTGGTTCCAAACTCAAGAAAGAATGGTAGAGAGAGCTGAGTTCCTTCCAGCAGCACCAGCTGAAATTTGCTCACAGCCCTGCAGCCAGTGACCCAGTTCTGAGAGCTGTACCATTTCCCCAGAACAGAGATTCTAATTTGCAACCATGAAATCTGAAGACTTCATAATTATTTTCTTCATAAATAATGTCTAGTAGTCTCAAGAGTAAATTTAAGAGGATGGGAAATGTGTGTATTTAGTTAGCCATATACTCTTGAGGACTGTTGATGTGGGCTTAGAGTTCAGCAACCTAGATGCCCAAGCAAGGGCAGTGGGAGTGTGTGTGTTAGGCTTTTCTTCCAGGATGTAAGCTCTGGCAGGACCATAAGGTAGTGTCTTGACAACAATCTGATAATGGTATGCAGAGCACTGTAGGAGAAAGAGAATGGGTTTTGGAATTAGATACAAGTTCAAACCCAAGCTTTAACGCTTACCTGCAACATAAACTTTGGCAAGTTACTGCCTAATTCTGTTTCCATATCTATAAAACTGGGATGATGCTATTACTTATTTCTTGATTCTGGTATGAGGGAAAATTCAATTGCTTTACATAAAGTTTCCAGTAGAGTTCCTGGAACACAGTAGGCCTTTGATACATGCTGGTTCTCATTATTTTCTCTTGCCTAAGTGGAAGCAGCATGAGGACTTTTTTCCCTTCTCACTTCCCTTATGCCATTAACTCAAGATTTACAAAGAGAAATGAAGTGCTATCTTGAGACAAAAAGATGAGAACGTACCCTTCCCAAATGGCAGGTTGGGGAGGAAAGGCTGTTTTCTTGATGCTCCATCAGACAAAAGACACTGGCCTAGAGTGAGTGAAAATTTATGCAATGGGAAACAGGCTTGTGCTGTGATCTTTGTTCAGGCCAGGCCCAAGTGCAGAACTTATATGAATTCTATCTATCTATCTGTCCATCCATCCATCCATCTATCTATCTGAATTCTATCAGGGATTTATAACTCCCTGGAATATAAAAAAGATTGTTTTGGAGTAATTAAAACCAGAACAAAACATACCGTTAGCAGCTTAGATATAAAAGACAAAGGAGTGGTGAAGTAGGTGCTTTATAATGAATAACAAACACTAATTCATTTGCTCTCTTAAGTGGTAAAATTTCCTGTACCTAAAGATACCAGGACAGAAGGACTCTCACACCCTGATGTCTTCTAGTGGTCATAATCAAAGACATAAAGTCTAACTGAATAATATATATATTGAGAGTTGTGAAACTCAGGAAACATGAGCCTTGCACCAAAGAAGGTCTGATCGTCACACAGGTCTTAGCTGAGGCCAGATGTAAGCTATTTATCTTGATATGGTAAGAGTGTGTCATTCAGTACAGAACGCTACTGTGTTACCAAGTTTCCAGAAAGCATATCTGCATTGCTTTGCTAGCTACCTCTAATCTCTCCATATTTTGGCTGTAGGAAGGGAATGGAAGAGGAAGATGAACAGCTTAAGGTACTTAGGAGGGGAGATCACAGAAGGAGTCTTCCTTACAGAGGCACCTGGAAGCCTTGAGGTACTTGCTTATAGAGTCCCTTATAGAATCAAGGAAGCCTTGAGGTACTCCCAATTGATCATCTGTCCTCTGGGCTGAGAAACCTACAGGCAACTGGTATCAAAAGGCAACACAGAGGCAAGTGGAAAACAAAAAGTAGACTATTTTAAACTTAAATAAGACAGAGTTTAAACATACACTTGGGTTAACAATATACTTGGCAGTGCCTGAATGACTGAGCATGAGAGAGGCTGTCTGATCTTTGCTGACAGGTTTTGGCATAATATTTAGCTTCAAAAAGTTGAAGAACTGTAATCCATTAGATAAAAATTCTGACATTCATTTTGTAAGATAAAATGCCTCCCTTTTGACTGGGAAAATGAATTCTTGATTTGTTCTAGGGTAAGGCTGGGTGGAAAGGTAATGGATTAGCTGGCCCAGGCAGTTTTGTTTGTTTTTGAGACAGGGTCTCACTCTGTTGCCCAGGCTGAAGTGCAGTGGTGCAATCACAGCTCACTGTAGCCTACTTCTGTCAATTCATCAAACTCATTCTCTGTCCAGTTTTGTTCCCTTGCTGGCAAAGAGTTGGAGGTCCTTTGGAGGAGAAGAGGCATTCTGATTTTTGGAATTTTCAGTCTTTTTGCAATGGTTTTTCCTCATTTTCATGGAATTATCTATTTTTGGACTTTGATGTCTTTGATGTTAGTGGCAAAAGGTTGGTGACCTTTGGATGGGGTTTCTGTGTGGATGTCCTTTTTGTTGATGTTGATGCTATTCCTTTCTGTTTGTTAGTTTTCCTTCTAATAGTCAGGCCCCTCTGCTGTAGGTCTGCTGCGGTTTGCTGGAGGTCCACTCCAGACCCTGCTTGCCTGGGAATCACCAGCAGGGGCTGAAGAACAGCAAAGATTGCTGCCTGTTCCTTCCTCTGGAAGCTTCATCCTGGAGGGGCACCCGCCAGATGCCAGCCAGAGCTCTCCTGTATGAGGTGTCTGTCAACCCCTGCTGGGAGGTGTCTCTCAGTCAGGAGGTATGGGGGTCAGGGACCCACTTGAGGAGGCAGTCTGTCCCTTAGCAGAGCTTGAGCGCTGTGCTGGGAGATCTGCTGCTAGAGAGTTGGCAGGCAGGAACATTTAAGTCTGCTGAAGCTGTGCCCACAGCCGCCCCTTCTTCCAGGTGCTCTTTCCCAGGGTGACGGGAGTTTTAGCTATAAGCTCTTGACTGGGGCTGTTGCCTTTCTTTCAGAGATGGCCTGCTTGGAGAGGAGGAATCTAGAGAGGCAGTCTGGTTACAGTGGCTTTGCAGCCCTGCAGTCCTACCCTCCTGATGGTTTTGTTTATACTGTGAGCAGGGAAAACCACCTACTCAAACCACAGTAATGGTGGATGCCCCTCCCCCCACGAAGCTCAAGCGTCCCACGTTGACTTCAGACTGGTGTGCTGGCAGTAAGAATTTCAAGCCAGTGGATCTTAGCTTGTTGGGCTCCATGAAAGTGGAATCCGCTGAGCTAGACCACTTGGCTCCCTGCCTTCAGCCCCCTTTCCAGGGGAGTGAATGGTTGTCTCACTGGCATTCCAGGCTCCACTGGGATATGAAAAAAAAACTCCTGCAGCTAGCTTGGTGTTTGCCCAAATGGTTGCCCCGTTTTGTGCTTGAAACCCAGGGCCCTGGTGGTGTAGGCACCTGAGGGAATCTCCTGGTCTGTGGGTTGCGAAGACTGTGGGAAAAGCATAGTATCTGGGCCTGAATGCACTGTTCATCATGGCACAATCCCTCATGGCTTCCCTTGGCTAGGGGAGGGAGATCCCCAACCCCTTGTGCTTCCTGGGTGAGGTGACACCCCACCCTGCTTTGGCTCATCCTCCGTGGGCTGCACCCACTGTCTAGCCAGTCCCAATGAGATGGGCCGGGTACTCAGTTGGAAATGCAGAAATCACCCACCTTCTGTGTTGATCTCGCTGGGAGCTGCTGACTGGAGCTGTTCCTGTTCTGCCATCTTATCAGCCCTCCAATCCTAATCTAATTTTAATTCTTAGCCAAAGCTTCCTAGTTATTCCTACTGTTTTTCAAATTATTTCACTCAACTTCTGGAATGGACAAATACTAATCTAAATTTTCTTTTTTTTTGTTTGAGATGGAGTCTCGCTCTGTTGCCCAGCCTGGAGTGCACTGGTGTGATCTTGGCTCACAGTAACCTCTGCCTCCTGGGTTCAGGAAATTCTCCTGCCTCAACCTCCCTAGTAGCTGGGACTACAGGTGCATGCTACCATGCCCAGCTAAGTTTTTGTATTTTTAGTAGAGATGGGGTTTCACCATGTTGCCTGGTCTGGTCTTGAACTCCTGAGCTCAAGCAATCTGCCTGCCTTGGCCTCCCAAAATGCTAGGATTATAGGAGTGAGCCACTGCACCTGGCCAATTTTCTTTAATACAATGATTAATCAGGAAATAAAATTCCCTATATATTCTGAATATCTCCAGTGAATAAGATGTTCATAAAAAACTAAGTAGTGGTAGCTAAATAAATTTGGTTTAAAGGCTGTTCACAAGAACAAATTGGTGCTGCTTCTCCAACATAAAGCCACTGAGCTGTTTTACATCTGGCAGCTGTGGCACAGCCAGCTTTGCAGTAAAAGTAGCATTTTGTTGTATCAGGTATTTCCTTGTAAATCACCCCTTACCCAATACACATGATCCTGGCAAGGCTTCTTCAACGCTGAAAACCAGAGGAGAAAGAAATTACCACTAAGAAAGAGGAACCCAGGAGCAAAGCTTCCCTGAAGCATACGAACCTGAGTAAAAAGGAGTGTTTCTGAGTTTCTGCTGTCCAGACTTAGCACAAACCGGATGGACTGGAAAAGTTCTTGGATACTGGATCTGAATTGTTCCTCTTCCATTCCACAAGTAGCTCGTGAGTACAGGATTCGTGACTGTACAATGAACTTGAAAAGGTACTCCAAGGCCTGGAAAGTGCATGAGAAAAAGGGATGGAGAGGTGTTGAAGATGCCTAGGAACTCACATAACAGAAAACAAAGGGCAAAGTAACAGTAGTTTCTACAATAAAATCAGGTGATGGGCAATTCTAACTATGGAGATAGGCACTTTATTTTTTAAAACTTTTTCCCAAATATCTAAATTGTCACCAAGCAGTAGCTATCTTCTTATTGAAAGAATCATCAAATAATTTCACAACTGTTTTCTGAGATTCTGGAATTAAGGATCCACAGACTGTTTTAGAAATAGTTGAATTCAAGAACATTCAGAATTAAAAAAAAAATGTTTATCTGTATTTTTTTTTTCAGGTTTGGAAATAAAGGGATCAAAAGACAAGGATGTAAGAAATAATCAGGTTTATTGCAAGAAGCAAGTGTCCTAAAAAGGACTCAGGAGTCCTCAGCCTTAAGAGTCTCCTGCATCTTTAAGAAATAGCTGGGGCTTGACACAGTTCCTCCTTTTTCACCAGGGATCACAGAAATCTGAAGAAAACTTGTCACAGGCTGCACAGCAGCTGACAGGCCTGATATACCCACTATCTACCCTCTTCTCACCAAGACATCTGCCATAGACAGTTCATAAATAGTACAAGATGAAGCTTCTGCAAAAGTCTGGGAGTAGAATCCGATTCTGAGGAGGTCCTGCTGCTTGGCCCATGCTTACAGAGTAATTCTCTTTTAAGAGAACAAATTCAAGACCCAAGACTATGTTTTCTAATCAAAGAAATGCCACAAATTTCCCACACACTGAAAAGGCAGAGATAATGGAGAGAAACTCATGCAAGGATGAAACAGACAGAAGTTAGGTACTTGAAATATAAAACAGAAAACAATTCCCAAACTACCTTTCATGATCTATCCATCTGTTAGAAGGTTTGGAAAAGCAGAAGAACTTAGTATTTTGGGGCACATACAAAATTCAGGTGGCACTGGGGAATGCCAGTTTAGAATAATGTATCTTCCAGGGCTTATACCAGAAGATTCTGTAGAAGAAATTACTGTGCAGCCTCATTTCCATAAATGCTACACCCTCTGTTCTAGTAGCTTTTTAATGCCTATTCTATAAAGAACTTGAAAGATCGGTTAATTTCTAAACCCAGACACTTGCAGGCCGGACTCTGCCCTGCTCTAGTATGTCTATACTGTGGTGACATCCTAGAGCAGGGGAAGAGTCTGGCCTGCAAGTGTCTTCAGGTCCATGAAGCAGAAAGTATACACTTCTGAGCCAGCTTCAGTTAACAGGTTATACCAGTTTTAAGTCACTGAAGTAGGAGGTATTTTCTATCAGAACAAAGAAAATAAATATTTGCATTTCCCAAACCAAACAGCTGGGTAACAGGTCTGACCTTCCCCTTTAGGTATTTTGGTTTTGTATGATTAAGATGGCTTGCTGGGCTCAGCAGAGGACAAAAGAGGGACAGGGTCAGGACTGAAACCCTGGAATCCTTATAGGTAGGGATTGGAATCCTTATAGGTAGGGATTAGAATCCTTACAGGTAAAGGACAGAATAGATCTCCTTGGAGCAACCTAAAAAAGCTAGGATGGCTTCCTCAGTCAAGTCACATAGAAAATGAAAAGTATGCTAAGACCTGGAAAGATTTATGAAAAATGGATTATGCATAGAATTAGAACATGAACTTGTTGAGCATATTATTGTCATATGCCCAAGCCCAGGAAGATGCAGGAAGGATCAGCAATTACGTGGAGCACTGGAAATAAAGACAGGAAAATAAACTAGATTTTTTTTTGAAAAGTGAAATCTTAGGACACCTGAGATGTAGGCAAATCTAATTATGTGCTCCATACTACTCCTCTAATTTTAAAACGGTATTTTTTGTTTGTTTTTTAAGTTTGAAACAGCTACCACAAGAGATGCAATGATTGGCATGAAACATCCACCAGTTTCTAGGAGGCAGAACCAGACAGCCAACTGACTTGCACCTTTTGGGCATGAGAGCTTGGTTCCTCTATTAAATGGCCACATAATATAAGAAGAAACTAGCAGAGGAGCACAGGGCTGGTATCAGAGAAGTCTCCATGCAAACCTAGATAAGGACATGGAAAATAAGCCCACTTCCAGTCATCCCTCAGTACCTGACTTCCCTCTTCCCCACTCCTCTTGATTTTTTTGGATCAGCACCATCTTGGTCAGGACCAGAGGATGCTGGCCACCTCTGACAGATTCAACTGGGGAAGGAGAGTGGGGCAGAAGAGTGGAGTAGAAGGTGAGGGGTGGAGCCTGTGGGATTTGTTCAAGGTTTAAAGGTGCTCCTAATACTGTGTAGAGACAATGGAGCACTTAACTGTGGCTGAAGTAGCTGCCCTGTCCATTTTTGCTTAAGTTAATAAATCTGTAAGAAGAAGAGATCCTAAAAGTTATTACCATGTTTTTATCAACAAGAAGATCCACCGTGCCCTCTCTTTCCTCCTTGTGGCTAATTGCTAAGGAACTGATACAGCTCAGCATTGTAAGGTGTGCTGTTGTTCTGGAATGCTTTGTGACGAGCTACCCTAAAACCCATAATGACAACCCCGACATGCCCCTCACATTGTGAACAAATAATATAACCAAGAAAGAAATAATGAACTTTTTATTTTCACCTTCTTTAATAGAACTTTTTTTTAAGGTTATGATTCTGAAGGTGAAAGGAAGAAATAAGATTATGAGTGGCAAGATATAGTGAATCAAAGGTATTAAAGAAGTTTCCTGGTCCATAGTTTTTGATATTGGAATAAGAAGTATCAGGCCAAGAACATGTATCCTATGAAGAAGGGGGAAAACAGGATTAGATGGAAACTTACTATTCGGGTGAAGGAGACTTGTAAATTGCAATCTGACGAAGAAGGGGAAATGGCCTGATAAAACCTTAGTGTTGGATGTATTAGAGAATAAGTTTGAAATGGTGAGAATACATATGAAAACACCTCAGAAAAATGCTCCCCCAAAGGGAATTCTTCCTTCTCCTCACCCAAACCTTATCTTTCCCAGAATTCTGTACCTCCGTAAATGGCCCTGTCATCAACTCAGCTGATTTAGCAAGACCCTTTGGAAATAGGCTCAGTTCACCCTTATTATCTTCTTCTACATCCAGTCCAGCATTTGAAAGCTCCCACTTTAGTCCTATCAGTTGCCTTTTGGTTCCTTAAAAACCCAAGCTCTTGGGGCTAGCGTGGTGGCTCACGCCTGTAAACCTAGCACTTTGGGAGTTGGAGGTGGGTGGATCACCTGAGGTCAGGAGTTTGAGACTAGCCTGGCCAACATGGTGAAACCCTGTCTCCATTAAAAACACAAAAAATTAGCCAGGTATGGTAGCACACACCTGTAATTCCAGGTACTTGGGAGGCTGAGACAGGAGAATCGCTTGAACCCAGGAAGCAGGGGCTGCAGTGAGCAGAGATCATGCCTCTGCACTCCAGCCTGGGCAACAAGAGTGATACTCTGTCTCAAACGAACAAACAAACAAACAAACAAAAAACAAAAACTCAAGCTCTTGGCCATGCCTGGCGGCTCATGCCTGTAATCCCAGCACTTTGGGAGGCCAAAGCAAGCAGATCACCTGAGGTCAGGGGTTCAAGACCAGCCTGGCCAAAACGGTGAAAAACCATCTCCAAAAAAAAAAATACAAAAATTAGCTGCATGGTGGTACATGCCTGTAATCCCAGCTGCTCAGGAGGCTGAGGCAGGACAATTTCACTTGAACCCAGGAGGCAGAGGTTGCACTGAGCAGACATCAGGCCACTGCACTCTAGCCTGGGTTGCAGAGTAAGTGAGATTCTGTCACAAAAAAACAAAACAAAACAAAACCCAAGCTCTTTCCCATTTAGGCTTTTAAACATTCTGTTTCTGCACCCTGGAGTGCTCATTCTCCAACTCTTAATACTGACTTCAGCTCAGAGATCACCTCCTTAGAGAAGCTTTCCCAAACCCTTGATCTGAAATAAACCCTCCTTTCCAGCCAGTCTGTTCCATGATCTTATTTCCTTCATGGTACTCATCAAGTTGTTTTGTTGTTGTTGCTGTTTTTCTTTTTCTTTTTCTTTTTTTTAAATTGCATTTTAGGTTTTGGGGTACATGTGAAGAACATGCAAGATTGTTGCATAGGTACACACGTGGCAGTGTGATTTGCTGCCTTCCTCCCCCTCACCTATATCTGACATTTCTCCCCATGCCATCCCCCCAACTCCCCACCCCCACTGTCCCTCCCCTATTTCCCCCCAACAGACCCCAGTGTGTAGTGCTCCCCTCCCTGTGTCCATGTGTTCTTGTTGTTCAATACCCGCCTATGAGTGAGAACATGCGGTGTTTGATTTTCTGCTCCTGTGTCAGTATGCTAAGAATGATGGCTTCCAGGTTCATCCATGTCCCTACAAAGGACATGAACTCATCGTTTTTAATGGCTGCGTAATATTCCATGGTGTATATGTGCCACATTTTCCCTGTCCAGTCTGTCATCGATGGGCATTTGGGTTGGTTCCAGGTCGTTGCTATTGTAAACTGTGCTGCAATGAACATTCGTGTGCACGTGTCCTTATAGTAGAACGATTTATAATCCTTTGGATATATACCCAGTAATGGGATTGCTGGGTCAAATGGAATTTCTATTTCTAGGTCCTTGAGGAATCGCCACACTGTCTTCCACAATGGTTGAACTAATTTACACTCCCACCAACAGTGTAAAAGTGTTCCTATTTCTCCACATCCTCTCCAGCACCTGTTGTATTCTCTTTGTAGCAATTGTGAATGGCAGTTCATTCTTGATTTGGCTTTCATTAAGTCTGTTATTGGTGTATAGGAATGCTTGTGATTTTTGCACGTTAATTTTGTATCCTGAGACTTTGCTGAAGTTGCTTATCAGCTTCAGGAGACTTTGGGCTGTGACGATGGGGTCTTCTAGATATACCATCATGTCGTCTGCAAATAGAGACTATTTGACTTCCTCCTTTCCTATTTGAATACCCTTTATTACT